ACACACAACAAATCCATAGATGTGGCAACGTAACTGGCAGCAACGCAAACTAAACTGTCCCAGCAGTTTTACTTTAATGTGCTGAAAAGACTTTTAAAGTGTCGGGAAATCCCACTTGTGCAAACAGACACATAGTTGCAGCACCTTTAAAGGGCAACTCTCATGGTGCGTAGATGCAGCCATTATGTTCAAACAATGATGAAATGTTCTAAAATAAACTATTTTAAATTTTATAAACCTATTTAATGAGGATTAAACCCCATTATGTGTATAAGTGCCCTTCAAAGCTGAGAGGCAGAAAGGAATCACTGTCTTGGGAAATGGTTCCACTTTTTGCAAATCAAGTTTCAAACAGCTCTATGCTGAGCAAAAGCAAAATTGTGTCATGGTTTGGTGAGGGGAAGTTGTGGATCAAAAGGGAAATTCTGTTGACTGAAATATTTGCATGGGTTTTTAATAATGGGGCTTTAAACAAGAATACAACAGGAAGGGTTTGACAGTAGAGGAAGCTTTTCTCTCAGGCCTTGGAAGAAAGACACAGAGAAATAGTGAAGGAACATACGGTTATGCATCAGAATGGGTTTCTCTTGTTTCCATGAATACCAGTTTGAGAAGAAACGGCATTTACTTACTTCTTTGAGTGGGGCGTGGGGAGTATTACTCTCCAAAGAAATTGCAGGTCTAGGTGTCAAGGATGTGGCTTCCAGGTCCCTGAGCCTCACCCTGTGATAAAACTGAAATTCCACCATGATTGAATATGTAGTTACATTCATTTTAGCATTGGCCTTTAGGGCAAGGTTGTGCAGGCTGTCCTGGAGAGGACTGGAGGGGAATTGTTACTCTTAGGACATGTCTACACCCTTTTAAAATTCTTCAACACCATATTGAAAAAACACCCTACTTATTTGTTCATCTATTGAATGCCATATAAACATCCCATAGCTGCTTGGTGGTGTTACATCACCCTCAGGCATGCTTATGAGAGTGAGAGTGCATGAGTTTTTTTCAGCATGTAGCAAGTATGGAGCAGGAACAAATCAGTGATGTGTATTACTACAGCAGTGCTCCCTAGCACTGTCTAGACCAGTGATTCTCAACATTTTTTGTACCAGGACCCATTTGTAAACATTGATGGCCAGTCCTGACCCAGTGCCCCTCACTCCCAACCTGCTGCCCTGTAACTCCAGGTCCCAACCCCCCATTGTGGGGCGGGGGGGAGGGCGGGAGGGATGGGGGGGCTCAAGCAGCCCCAAGCAGCACCTTGCAGGCTGGAACTGTGCCAGCCTGCAAGGCGGCCTGGAGCTGTCCCAGCCTGCAAGTGAAAAGCCACAGTTTCCCACATTTTTCTCCTTTAAAGGAGAATCTATTTTTAAAGCTTGTTTGCAACTCTTTCATATATTCTTGTGACCCACAGGTTGAGAAATGCTGATCTAAACCAGGGGTGGGCAATTATTTTGTTTGGCAGGCCACTTAACATATTTTGGTGAGCTGTTGAGGACTGTGCACACAAAATCTTTCAGAAGGTATAATTTTATCAAATTATAGGTAAAAAAAATCAATCGTACTAAAAATCAAACATCTGCTTGCTTGGGGGTCTTGGGTGGGGGGGAGGGAGGGAGAAGGGACGGGGTGCATGAAGCAGAGCAGGTGAGTTTCACCTTCTCCCCACCACCGCCCTATCTAGCCTGTGGCTGCCCCTGAAATGTTCTGCATGAGGCTGAGCCCTGTCCACTCCCACCTGCAGCAGCCCATGCCATGCTCTAGTCTGCACATGTCCTGCACCCCGTGATGTCTCTGGGCCCAGCCAGCATACACAGCTTCCTGGCAGGGCTGCTTCTGCTGCTGCTGAAGCCTCTTGGGTACTGCTTGGCTCCCCCTCCCTCCAGTGGCTCCTCCTCCTTTTCCTGCCCCTACTGCATTGCTCCAGGCAGCAGGCAATGCAGAGAAGTAGGGGGAGCCCTAGGGATACGTGTCAGGTACCAAATGTCCAGCCAGGTGATAGGGAAGCTGTACCCAGGCAGCTCCTGCCCATGGGACACCAGCTCCATTTCTTGGCTGCCTTCCACCCACTCTGCCCACCCGGTGTAATGATGAGCAAGCCAGCTGTCGGCAGCTGAGTGGGTAGAAGGCAGTCCAACTGGGAAGCTGTATACACAGGCCGGGGCCGGGGCCGGGGCCGGGGCCGGGGACAGGGTTGGTGCCATCAGCTGGTGCAGGGCTAGTGTGGGTGGGAGCATGGTGCGGGCTACCCCAGGTGGAGGTAGGTGGGGCTCAGCCCTATGTGGACATACCCATAGAATTACAAGTCATTCCACAGTCGTGGCCAAAGCAGTCAAAGAACAGAGCATTTGCTCCTGCTCTATATTGTCAGCAAATTTCTTCCTACCCCATGCCAGTTCAACTCCTTGCCCCTGCCTACCCAACTATGTATGTGAGGTAGGAAGAGGGTATTTACCTATGTTGACCTGCAATTTTTTTGATTTCCATATCTGTTTTACTGAGCAGCAAATAGCACTACAATATCAAAGAGTAAGTGATGGGTTGGACCCAATAGGTACATCTACACAAGACGCTTTACTGTACGTTAGACTAATGCCCAGTAAAGTGTCACTATCTACACATGCACAGAAATTTATGCACAGAAAAATAGGCTAATGAGCTGTTTGCTAGTACCAGGAAATACAGGTACTAGATTAACGGTGCATTATTTACTGCTTAGTAGCATATATGTAGACAAGGTTCCTTGGGTGAATTTGATATCTTTTATTAGACCAACCCAAATGGTTGGAGAATAGTTATTAAGCAAGCTTTCGGGTTCAAAAACCCTTCGTCAGGCTCAGGAAGCTGCAGCAGTTGGTGTGTGCTCTTCCTGGATCCACCCATGGAACCTTGTCTGCCTATATCCTTAGACCAACACAGCTACAACCTAAACCCCTGTAGCATATATGTAGACACTTACTGGGAACAATTTGCTTCTGGCCAGCTCAGGCAGCAGGGGGCCTGCTGCTGTCTGCTAAGTCCCTTGCTGGGGGGGGGTGGGGAATCTGTGCCAGCAGCTGGAACTGTTGCATCCCAATCATGTGGAGATCAGGTCCTGACCCTCCTAGACCCCACATGGTTGGCAGGCAGAGTCTCCACTGACACAGGCAACGGGAGACCGGGGCTAATGGGACTTAGCCCTCCCAAACTAATTTTGCAGCAGCCAGAGAAAATGCTACTGCCACACCCTGCCGCCGTAGCACTGTGCCCAGCACTCTCACCGTGTACTCCACCACCACAGTGTATATAGCACCAGCATGAACTGGCCCCTGCAATGGCCCTACAGGAGGGAGGGGTGGGGGCGGGGAGGTCAGGCAGGTATGCCCAACACTGCCTTGCCCAGGGGCGGGTAATTATTTTTGGCAGAGGGCCACTTACTGAGTTTTGGCAAGCCATTGAGGGCCACATGACAGGCAGCCCAGGGCAGATTAATGTTAATTTTCTAAATTTTTTAGGGGCCCTGCAGGCTGGATAGAATGGCCTGGAGGGCCGCATCCGGCCCTTGGGCAGCATTTTGCCCACCCCTGGCCTAGCCACTTCAAATAATATTTTCTCCACTAAGCAGGGATGACTCTCCTGGCCCTGCAGGGATCCAGACCAGGCTCTGTGCACCCTGCCAGCCCAAGAGCTGGCACCCAGGGAAACCTGGAGCTCCCCTTGTCTGCTGCAAGGAGGCAGAGCAGGGCTGGAGCAGTCCTGGATTGGGCTGCTCCTCAGGTGCAGTTTGCTCCCAACAGGGGCTAATGTGTAGACATGCACTCTAGAGCACTTTAATGAGCCTAAATTTTCTGCAAAGAAAATTCAGGCACATTAATTTAATTTGTAGAAGCACCCTATGATTCCTTTCTAGAACTGTATCTGCTGTGGGCCTGCTTTTGTATTGTTCACATGCAGAGCATGTTGTGTGTGCATGCCTATTGGTACACAGTTGGAAGTAAAATGTGATGGGGAGGTTAGAGAGCACAAGGGAAAGGTGTTCCCACAGTCTTAATTATTTGACCTCATGAGTGCTCTTTTCAAATGTGCGTACACTTCTCTACTCTATAGATGAGGGACTTGAGACAGATGAAAAGCACTCTGCTCATTGTCAGAACACAAGGCAAAGGCTGATCCACAAACAGAAGCTGGATCTCTTGATTCCCAGTCTGCCAGCTCTGTTGACAGGACTGTGTTTCATGGCTAGCAGTATATCCATGCCTACTGGTTTGGACTAAGGCATAAAAGGAGGCTCATTAATCTTCTTTCCTGGAATGATGAAGATACACTTGAACACTTCTCTCTTGAGACCCATCCCTTCTATGCTCTCACTTGTAACACCCCTGCTTGCCCCCCCACTTTTTAGTCGGTATGCCTGCTTACGAGCAACATACACTTGGTGAGTGACTGTGTCACCTGCTTAACCATATTCACCGCACCACCAACACATACATATACATACAGAGTCTCCATTCACATGTACATTGGAATATAATATCCAACACTCCACTGTGGCTGATACAAGGCAATACAGGATTAAAGCTACATGCAAGTCTCAGGAGTCTTTTCTCAGAGCAATGTTTACTACTACAGTCCATTCAGAAGCCCAGAGACACCATCTACTGGCATATGTGCTGCAGTTCTATTAGCATCACATTATGAATAGGAGCCAGCTTGGCCAAAAAGAATGCCTTTTGTATTCACACTTTTTTGCAGAAGTGTAACTAGATTCTTGATCACCATGCGCAGCAGTAGTGGCCAGGCTGGTAGTGCAGCTGCTGCTATTTTTGTGTCACCCTCAGGGTCAGTGCTCAGGGCTGGTGTCTTGATGACTTTCTCTTCATTACACTAGTGCTTTTGTGTTCCTGCCTGAACTGTGTGTGTGCTCATGCTATGAAAATATGAACCGAATGATGGGTTCAAATTTTCTCCCTAGTCTTTCTGTTAATAAAGGAAGGAAACCTTTTTTTAAAGATATTTAATAAGATACTTTTTCAAATCAGTACAAAAATCTTAAATACAAAAATTATTTGCTGTTGACATGTCTCATATATATCCTGGAAACATACCAAGTTATCAATGGCTGGTAAACTGTCCATTGCTGCCAACATTCTATAAAATATCTGAGACTGAACACCTCACTACTGTCATCTGAGTCTTTTGTGGATGGTTATGCTGCATTAAATTCGGTATTTAAATAATGGTAATGCCAGTTAAATCCATTTTTTCAATGGAAGATCCTACTTCATTTTGAATTAAATGTGTTAGCCTTAGCCAAAACAAAAGTGAAAAGTGTTCAACCTGCTTTTTAACTCATGTCATAGTGTGATGTGCAGCATTGAAAAGGGAAACACAGAGGACACTATTATTTTTAAATTAATCCTAGCAATTAACTTTTTTTTGCTGTGAAACTAGCATTATTGCTTAACAGACAGTAACTTGCAAAAAGTTGCTTTCCCCACATATACACAAGTTTGAAACCTATGTTTGACACCAACTTAGATGATCCACAATGAAAATAAATAACAAGGGCTGGAAATTATTATGTGAAATGAAATTTTTCAAATCTGTTTGCTTGAACCTTATTATTGATATAATTACTGGACCACTTCAAGCCCATTTATTCACTTTTTTTCTTTAGTAGACACAGCAGCAGCACCTTGTTGTTCATTTGCTCATAAACTGGTGTAAGTTTGGATGAACCAAATAACAAGAACATACTGCTGAAGCCAAACAGAACACAGGTTCTGAGCATGAGTCTGGAAACATGAGTATATAGATACGAGTCTGCTGCACTGACAAGAATCGGCCAAAATGCTACAGTGTGGCCAAAATGCTACCTTTGGCATAACAGATGCATGAAGTCACTGGACTGGAACCATGTCTGAGATTAATTTTATCCATCTTTCACTTAGCAAATGCATATGGTGGCTTCTTCAATGCTTTGGCATTTGAGGGGTTTATCCCGTGCCTATGGAAGGCAATAGAAGACTCCCTTCAATTCTAGTGAGTGTTGAAAAATGGGCTCATTTAGCAATAATTAAAGCTACCCTGTACTAATGTCCTGTCTCATCTTGTATATAGGGACCTAACAGGACTTAAATGGCAATGAGACTAAACAATTTTCATGGGTTGGTCATGACATAAAGAGTAAATAGTTTGGATATTTCCCGGATGTCCTCCACCAGCCCTGTCCCTCAGTACTGGTTGTCAGAGAGGCCCCAACATAAGAAGGAAGGACGAGGGGGCGGCCATCATCTTGTACACTGCCTTTTGTGCAGTCCCACCTGCTGCTGAGTTCCCCCTATGTGGGCTACAGCAGCAAGGACCACTGGTTCCCCCGGGGAGCCAGCATTTTATTTACGTTGATTTTGTGGATAATACCAGATTTCATGGTTTCTGCAAAATATACACAATTACAAATCGAGTAGACTCATACTTATGGAACATATAAAACTGATATTTTACATTAGGGAAAATAAAGATTTCAGGCTAGAAGTGTCGCCGCTTATGGTGTAGATAGATAAACCCTGTTTTAGAAAAAAAAGTTCACTCAAACTTTATATAATTATATATTATATTTCATACTGACTCATTCTGTTTTAAGTTATTCTTCATCTCATATTTTAGATCATTGTTTCATGTAAGTAGGCAACAGGAGTGAGTGATATATGCTAGATTTGAACCTTACTACTGCGTTACTGTAAATGAAATGAAGTAAGCATGGTATCACAGAAATATATAATGTACAGCTAATACGTCCCCATTGGGTACAAAACAACTGTAATGAACCTGATACACATTATTAAATATGTTCACTACACCATTTCATAACTAGCTGTGCATAATGTTAAACTTTGTACTTTTTGTTTTTGTTTTTTTTTGTTTGTTTTTTGCTTTTTTGTATAAGGTGGTCCAAAACAGTCATTTAAATGCATCTTTCAATGGTATAAAAGTTTGAAGCAGAGAGAAAAGTTTAGGTTTTGTGTGTTTTTTGCTTTACATGGGATACAATAAATACCCTGAAAAAGATGAGTGAACATACTGCCCAGCATAGAGTCCTGCTGCCTGTTCAGATGGCATCTGGACGTAAACTTTGTCTCCATGCATGAGCGGAACGACAGCACTTCCAGAAGCTTGGTCCAGGAAGCCCTTTTTGTACTCGTCATACGTGTACATCAGCGGCTCATTGTTCTTGAACAAAGCCACCCAGACACTGGCCCCTTTACAGTGAACATGGTAAGCGAAGTAGTAAATTCCTGGGATCTCGCAAGTGAAGATCCCTGTCTGTGGGTTATAGTTCTGCCTGCCATTGTAGAGGAGCTTGTCAAATTTCACAGGCACCCCAACCCGTGGGAAAGGTGTGAGGAGCTCTGCTGTGAAGGCAGGCATTTCATAGACAGCAGCACCGTTCTTGCCTTTCTTGCCCATATAGCCAGTTGGGGTCTTCACTCCATCTAGGCCTGGCCCCACCTCCGGCAAATATTGTCCAATGGCTGGTGGGGTGGGTGGGATGACTACTGGAGGACCAGGAGGACCTGGGGGCCCTGGGGGACCTTGGAATCCAGGCTGGCCAGGGGGTCCAAGGGCCCCAGGCTTTCCTGGTGGTCCTTGGAGGCCTGCAACACCAGGTTTCCCGATTCCTGGAAAGCCTGGTGGGCCTGGTAAACCTGGTTCTCCCTTAGGCCCTGGAAGTCCAGGGGGTCCAATTGGACCACTGGGTCCTGCAATACCCGGGATTCCAGATGGACCTTGGTGACCCTGAGCACCATGGATTCCAGGCTCTCCTTTAGGGCCTATAAGCCCTGGAACACCAGGCAGACCTGGTAAACCTTTGTGGCCAGCTTCTCCCTTTGGCCCTATTGGACCAGGAAGCCCCCTCAGACCTGGAGGTCCCACTTCCCCAGGGAAACCTGGCTTTCCTGGGAAGCCCTGTAGGCCTGGTTCACCTTTGGGACCAATAGGGCCTTGAGGCCCTACAGCTCCACCTTCTCCTTTTGGTCCTGGGAATCCAGTGACACCAGGGGGCCCCATTACTCCTGGTAATCCAGGCTGGCCTGGCTCCCCAGGAGGCCCACCCATGCCAGGAGGCCCCACATGCCCCTTTTCACCTTTAGGCCCAAGTGGGCCAGGGAGACCACCCATGCCACGATCACCTTTAGGTCCAGGAAAACCTGGTTTACCGACTCCTGGCAAGCCAGGTGGTCCTGGTAAACCTGGCAAGCCTTGTTCACCTTTCCCACCTGGGAATCCAGGCTGGCCTGGGATTCCATCTTGGCCTGGTTTCCCAACCCCTGGAAGGCCAGGTGGACCTTGAATCCCTGGTACACCAGGAAGGCCTTGTGGCCCTTGTTCACCTGGAGGTCCAGGTTTACCTATAGGGCCCTGTGGTCCCGGAAACCCAATCATTCCTTGTTTTCCTATGCCTGGAAGGCCAACTGCTCCTGGGGGTCCAGGTAATCCAGGTGGACCTTTTAATCCTGGTAAACCTGGAATCCCAATGCCCTTTTCTCCTTTAGGTCCTGGAATCCCAGGAGCTCCTGGTGGTCCTTTCATTCCAGGTTCACCCTTTGGTCCCTGTTTTCCTGGTAATCCTGGGGCTCCTGGTTTTCCTAATCCAGGAAGTCCGTGAGGTCCTGGTGGTCCTTGTGGTCCTGGTATTCCCATAAGCCCAATCTCTCCCTTTGGTCCAACCTCACCTCTTGGCCCAGGGGGCCCCATTACTCCTGGTTTTCCAGGCATTCCGGGCAATCCTGGCTTGCCAATTCCTGGATATCCTTGTGGACCTGGTTTTCCTTTGGCTCCTGGCACTCCATGGCCTGGTAGTCCCGGGGGTCCTGGTGGCCCTCTTGGTCCAGGCTCACCAGGGGGACCTTGTTCACCTCTCAAATTGACTAAAGGGATTTCTGTTTTTTTAAAGACAGACAGAAACAGACAGATAGATGTTAGCCATGATGTCACCTACATGGTTTCACTCACCCCTACATTTCTCTTGTTTCTCTTGTTTCTTTGTTCAGTTGGTCATATATATGGGTTAGCCTTCAAGTCTGTGATGAAATGCAAAAATATCACTATTTTGGGATGACTTCTTATAGCCTTATCTGCACTTAAACATTTTGCCTTCCTAATAGAGATGAAGTTATAATGGTCAAGAAGTGCCATTGCTAATCTACCTTATACGTTTGATTAGCAAAATAGGATGTACTGGGTGAGTCTAGATGAGCGTGTGTGTGCATTTCCCCAGGGACAAATAGCAGCGGCACATACATAGATGTCCCCAGAAAATGCCCCTGCAAGTGTGCTGTGGCACATGGCAAATTGCCCCAGATGGGGTAGGGGGAAGCTGGGACCAGCACCTGGGCTGCTCCAGCAGCCTTACCAGGGATCCTGGGGACTTCCCAGGGCTGCAACAGCATCAATCTGGGCATGCAGAGCCTAGCCAGTAGGACTGTGCAAAGCTTCAGGTGGTGATTCGATTCAGAGGAGATTCAGTCCAATTCAGTGGCCGAATATCCAAATCTGAAATGAATCAGGGGACCAATTTAAAGGTCTGAATCAATTCAAAGCTCTCCAAATCATTGGAAAACGTTTGGAGAGCTTTGATGATTTGGACAGTCCCCGGTGGCTGCAGCAGGGAGCTGCAGCTGACTCCAAACTGGTAAGTACTAGGGGCAGGGGAGGGAGGGCTGGAGGAGGGGACCAAAGGGGGACCTCTGCAAGCCCCACCCCATGGCTGCCCCCACCCTCCCCAGCTCAGTACTTAAAAAAAAAGCTTGCTGCTGGGCGGGGGGGGTGGTGATCCCTGCTGCCCCCCACTGCCCCACACTGCATGGGGGGCTCTGCCACGAGCCCCTTGATCCCTCCTGCTCCCCCAGCCCCCCCATGGGTGCCCTGCCCAGGCCAGCTCCGGCCCTTTAAGAACAAACAAAGCAAAAAAAAAGCCCTGGGACTCACCACTCCTGCAGCAGCCTTGGGGGCTCGTGCAGAGCCCCCCACATGGTGCGGGGTAATGGGGGGCAGTGGGGATGCCCCCCCACCCAGGGTTTTTTTGTTTGTTTGTTTTTATTAAAGGGCCAGAGCTGGCCTGGGTGGGGCACCCATGGGAGGGTTGGGACAGTGAGGGGGGGGGAATTTGGGGGGCTCATGCAGAACCCCCCATGCAGTGTGGAGCAGTGGGGGGCAGTGGTGATCGCTCCCCACCCGGCAGCACCCAGTGAGCACTGGGGATTTTTTTTAACAAGTGTCGGGAGCTGGGGAGGGTGGGCAGCCATTGCTGGGGCTGAGAGAGTAGCAGGGAAAGGGCCTGGCTGATTCAGATGGGCCTGGCTCCGAATCAGATTTGGCCTAATTGAATCAGGACAGTGATTCAAATCACTGAATCGAATCATCGTCCCCTGAATCGGCCGAATCCAAAGCAAATACTAGCCGCTTCGCACAGGCCTACTAGCTAGCAGCCAGATCATGGCTCTGGCCAGCCAGGCTCCGGTTTCAGGCAGCACATACTGCTGCCATGTGTACTACCACACTTTTTTTAAACCCATTTTTTTAGATCCTAGGATTTCCCAGTATTTAATTTTGGCTCTGCACAAACATGCAGTGCAGAGAACCTTTTGACATGCTTCATGTGCATTTCGTGGTGCCTCAAAAGCCTTTGAGGCACCGCAAAGTGCACATCCGTGGTCCTCTGGAAAGCAAAAACCAATTTCATGTTGCAACGACTTCATCTACATCAAGGTGGTTGTTGGCATAAAAGCATTGCAAAAAAATCACCTTGCTGACCAATACCATTGCTGGCAAAAGTTTCTAGGGCAGATCTGATGAACAGGACAAGACATCTTGTTCAAATGCTTTCACCCTGATAAGGTGTTGAATAAACATATCTTTAAAGTATACACTTTATTATTTAATATTTCAGATTAATTGCTTGCATCCTAGGAAAGGGATCTTCTGAGAAAAATAAAGTCTGCAGTTTCAAAGCCACTGCTGCCAGCCAGTCAAACACAAAAATCTGTAGTCAAATATTAAGAATTGATCTTAACCAAGAAAATGCAGCTAGTGATGTGAAGTCTTCAACATTGTCCTGAAATTGGGCACCCCAAGACTCTCCTAACCTATGGTACTTAAACCACCCACTTCTTTATCCTTGGATCCCACTACCAACCTTTGTGTCCCTAAATATTGATGCTAAAGATCTGAATGGACTGAAAAATCTTCATTGACTCATTGTCTCAAAGTGCTTAAAATAGAGTATAGCTTGATATGCACCCTACGTACGAGTGAATGTGTAGCACAGTATCCCAGAAGGTAGCACAGGGAAAAAGTGCTGTGCTTCTGAATGGTGCCCTTCCAACCTGCTTCAGAGTGGGTATTACTAATTGCGCTGACATATTTTAGCAGCAAATTCTGACACCCTCTGCATTAATAGAGCCAAACTTATGTCCCCCCTCCCTCTGCCCACCACTTGAGGGGCAGGTGTGAGGGGGAAACCAGCAGGTGCATAGCTCTGCAAGTAGAAGGAAGTTTCTTAACACCCATTAAATCCAGGCAGAGGCACAAAGACCTAAGGCTAATATCACCTACAGCACTCCGTATCTTCAAAACACTGTATAGACCCTGTAATACTCCTGACATCCTATGAAGTAAATGAATTTTACAGCTATTTACAGATGTAGATTGGCCAAGCCTACTGGTATTCATGTAAAAATTCCCCAGGTTTTCTGCTGAGAAAATAGCAGGTCTATAGAGAAATCCCCAGCTGACTGGCAGATATTTTGCAACAATGGAATTCTTGGTCAGTTAGCATTTCTCTTTCTTCTTGCTGTACCAGATATTTGGATGGGATATAACCTAATGTTTCAGTGCAGAAAATTGTATTTTTACTAGAGATGATGGAAAGCCACAGGATAAGGCAGGGGCTAGATTTTTTATATGTTCTTTAGTCATGAGAGGTATATATTGCAACTCATTATGGGATTCTTCCTACTGTAGTATCCAAATGTTGCAGTCTTTGCTATATGTTTCCTTCCAGTACCCCTATAAGGTAAGGAAGTGTTATCTCCATTTTACAGATGACCATGGTCCTGCATAAAATCTGTGGTAGAGCATGGAACTGAATGCAGACTTCCTACTCTTCTTTTATGAAGGCAACTTTGGTTTTGCAATCTAGGTGAGTGGATGCATACATGAATATCTCCATTCACACCGATGTCAGGCATGATACAAATTTTGGCTTGCTGAAGGGTGGTGGCAAATATAAGCCTGCTAAGAAAGTACATGGGAGGAAAGCCAGCCCTCTTTTTCAGGAAACAGTCACAAGAGCATATCCAGCCATGTAAGATGAATATGCATCCCCACATGCTTTTCTGCTCCCTGGAGGGAACCTGGTCCATCGCTCAGGGAGTGAGGTGCAAGCTGTGTGAACTTACCTGCTGTTGAAGCAATTGGCAGGGGTGCTATAGGACCATTTTTGATATGCAGTCAAATAATGTTATGGGAAACCTAACACAGAGTTAGTCTCTGGGGAGCTGAGGGGAGTGGAAAGGTGAGTTCTCTGACACATTTACCTTTTTCTTTCTTTGAAGCCATCTCCTTGCCCAGCAGTGGCAGCTGTGGTATTTCTTTCATATATTGAGGCAGGTGAGGGTATTCTTTTCCATACTGCATGTGGGGCACCTCCTTGCCCATGTGTTGCATTTGCTGCATTTGTTGCATTGGAACACCTTCTTTGCCCAATGGCATGTGAGGTACTTGTTGTCCGAGGGCCTGATACTGTGGGACTTGGGGTGGCAGCTGCTTGATCCCATAATAAACACCGCCCTGAATGGATTTCACTAGCTCTAGGTAAATGGTTACTGCTACTGTTAGCAGCTGTACAGGGGCTAGCAGCACAGCCATGACCTGCAAAAGAGTGAATAATAAATATATAACAATGATGAAAATCTGCAAATCTTGTCTTACATTGCAGGCCTCATTCTCTGCAGTCAACAGGGGGGCTCGTGCAGAACCCCCCATACAGCATGGAGCAGTGGGGGGCAGTGGTGATCGCTCCCCGCCCAGCAGCACCCAGTGAGCACTGAAATAAAAGTGATTGTGGGTCACTCCAGTTAAAATTCTTTAGCAGCTTCCTAATAGTTTTTTTTTTTTAATAAATTAAAAGCTCAGGACAATTGCCCTTGCATTTGTTCATTTTGATATAAAATCTGCTTGTCTTTTCTCATGAGTTTGCTCTTCTCCACAGTTTCAGTGTTCATTGTGTTGTGGAGGTTTGTAGAAAATAATGGTCCTCAATACAGGGCATAAATTGTCAGGAGTATTGAAAGCTTGAGTAGCTGGGATAGTTGGGGCTTTTGGCTCTCCTGTAGGAAGTAGACAAAAACTTGTGAGGGAAGCATGCTTGAAATCAGGAGCAGTGAAAGAGCTAACTCTGCTGACTTCAATGATCATATCTAAGTTTCAGAGCCGAATACCTCATTGAGTTGAACAGGATAGTTCACTGCACTCAGAGCTACTGTATTGTGCCAAGCTGCCCAGAAACTAAAGACAACATGTTTGCATCAGCTATGCTCAGGTCATGTTCCTAAGGTTTTCTTCACAAGCCTGAAAAAACATCATTATTGAAGAAAAAAAAATGAAAAAAGGAAGCAAGCACTCTCTGTTTCTGGATTATAAATCTGAACGGAGTAGCCAGCTCTGCATCTGCAGAATATATGAGCTCTGAATCAACTGGTTTAAGATATTTGGCCATTTCTTCATTCTAACCTAACCAATACTTCAGCTGTCTCCGTTTACACTTTGTACTGGCTGCCTTAATTAAGGAGAGGCAGGGAGCAAGAATTCAGATACCTGAGACTTCTTAAAGGAGAATAAATTTGGAGAGCAGTTTAGGAGCAGTCACAGGTGGTCTGAGGTAATGGAAAATGCTTCTATGTGCTACACTGTACTCTAGCAGCTCCCTGTACTGTTCTTTCAAAATGTTCACTGCAAAATGTGGACCAGTGTCTTTGCTTTCCCCTTAGCCCCTTATATTGTTGTGGCAGTGCTAAGAGGCCTTAAACACACCTGAAATAGGTGTAGGTAAATCTTTTGAGTGATGGAAGCAGCTGCAGTGGGTAGAGAGTTGCTAGGGTAACTCTTCATTACCCTCTGGCCCAGCGCCTGTTGTGTGGGGAGGACTAGGGTTGTGTTTTTTTTGACTGTGGAAAGTATCTGGAAGGTCCTTGTGGCTAGGTGATGATTATATGAGCTGGTCAAGGCAGGCCCTTGGCTAGCCTGAGCGCATACAGAAGCAATGCAGGTAGTTTAAAGCTCTCTTCTTCCATCTTTGCTCTGCCTTCTTTTCCTGAGGGTAGCGGAGGTAGAAAAGACAAATGGACACTTTGTTTTGAACTGTGACAGTATATGACACTGAACACTCCTTTGCCTACCTTGAAGGCAGCCTCCAGCTTAAAGGAGTCAGGAAGATGGTGCAACCCAACCAGGTGCACTCATGAGGAAGAAGGAACAGTCGCAGCCCTCTCCCAGAAGGTTCTGCAGGTAAGTCCCGGGAAGGTCTGTGAGGGGGAGAGGGCTTCAGCTATGGCTTCTGCTGCCACCCAAAAAGCTGCTTACTGCACTTGCTGCTGGGTCACAGCTGGGGAGAGAGGTAGGTGCAACTAGCAGAATGCAGGCAGATACCTTGCCACTGTAGCCCCTCTTCCCTGTGTCAGCCCTTCGGTGGGACACACAAATCTCCTGTTACCCTGAGGAGAATTGACACAATCTATGAGTCTGTGACTTTGTATAAGGGGCTGGAAGGACCTCACAAGATCATTGGGTCCAGCCCCACTGCACTAGGCAGGAAAGATAACTGGGGGTCAGGTGACCCCAGCAAGGTGACCATCTAATCTCCTCTTGAAGATCTCCAGGGTAGGTGACTGCACCACCTCTGGAGGGAGCTTATTCCACAGTCTGGACACTCTGACTGTGAAAAAGATTTTTCTAATGTTGAGCCTGAAACGGTCTTCCAGGAGTTTGTGGCCATTACTCCTGGTTTTCCTCAAGGGTGCCCTGGTGAACAGTTGTTCACCGAGCCCTTGATGTATTTGCCTGATGCAGCAGTAAGCTGCTACGAAGTCCCCTCTCAGGCTTCTCTTTTTTAGGCTGAAGAGGCCCAAGTCCCTCACCCTTTCCTCGTATGGCTTGCCACGCAAGTCTCTGATCACACGGGTGGTTCTTCTCTGGACTCTCTCAAGCTTTTCCACATCCTTGTTGAAGTGTGGTGCCCAGAACTGGACTCAGCACTCCAGCTGTGATCTCAGCAATGCCGAGTAAAGCAGAAGAATTGCTTTCTTGGTTTTACATGAAATGCACTGGTTGATGCATGCCAGAGTATTGTTTGCCCTGCTGGTTACAGCATGGCTCTGATGGCTCATGGTCATTCTATGGTCTATTATTACTCCTAGGTCCAAAATGGAGACTGTCCCTGTGCTGCTCCAAACTCTTTGGGTACCTTACCTTGTGCCTCAAGCCATCCCTGGGACAGGGAAGATACAGAGAAGGGAGGACAGGCAGCTGGGCTGACTGTAGGGAAGAGAAACCCAAGGAGTAGAAGGAAGGGACAGGCTGGGAGAGAGAGGCCTTGACACTTTTACAAGGCTAGAGCCTAAGAACACTTCTGCCAGGTTCCTATATTTTGTAAATCAGTTAAATGAGGCACAGAGCAAGTAAGGAACTTGCTTAAAATTATAGAGAGTTACAAGTTCATGACTCGCTTCCCCATGCAAATCACTACATGACGTGGTGAAAATCTTAGTTCTACTTGCGTTAATGGGAGTTTTACCACCAACTCCAACAAAGCCATCATTTTTACCCATTGTTCAATCTAACAGACCAAGACTCTTATCTTAGGACATTAGTATCTTCCATTTGTACTTGTTTGTTTTGGGGTTGTGTTTTTTTTTTTAAATTTCTCTGTGTTCCCTGACCCCTTCATATTTTATCACTGTCTGCTGGCATATTAAGGTTGGCACAGTACTTAAAGTATTTGTTCCTAGAAGTGTTCACTGTTGTCCCCAAATCTTTTCTTTGACTTCTTTGCTTGTTCAGTATAACTGGTTTTGCATGTCAACAGCTATTAGAATGTGATGGTGTAATTAAAGGTTGTGAAACATGCATATCCAAAAGGAAACTAAATTATGGTGGCAAAAGCAACTATCATTCTAGTATTTGAGTACTTGACTTTGCATCCTAACATTCTGTCCTTGAATGTGTTTATGGATCTAATTATAGATTTGCGTTATCATCATCACTGTAGGACTTATTAATTAATTTAATATAATGCCTATTGTTGTTTTCTCTAAGAATGATTGTGATTTCTAATAGAAAATAAGTGTACACAATTAAATCATGGTTAATGTCAAGTAAGTAGAGAGAGAGGATTTTTGTGGGTGATCACTTTTATTTTATTTTTTTTAAATAAATGATAACACCCACAAAAATTCTTGCCTGTAGCATTTGCTGGACCATTATCACTTTTAACACTACCAGGAATGTAGGGAAACATTTTGTGAGATGCAATGTTAGCAATTGCACGCTAGATGGTGTATGTGTTACAGGATTCTGAGTTCTCATGGTCTCAGAATTTTAAGATCCCAAATGTAGTAGGTTGCTTACAGTAAATCAACATGTTGCAAAGGAAACACGGTAGTTAAATAAACAGTCTTGAATCTTGTACACAGAAATGATAGAATTACTAATTTAATGCACCCAGTTAGCTGCCCATCCACATTCAGCAAAGCTTTTAAGTATGTTCTTAATTTCCATTGGTATAATGTGACCTTTAGCACTTGCCTAAATGTTTTAATGAATTGGAGCCTTAAGATTTGATCTTACACCACTGACTTCAATAGGGGCAGATTCAGACCATTAAAGAGCAGTGATGTCTCATTGGAAGCTTCTCCTGAGAGAGACTGTCTGCAGTGTATGGCCTACTGCAGTCCCTCCTTGTTTGGTTACCTCTTGAGTTGTATGCAAAGTCTGTTTCTCTTTCTCACTTGGGCAACATCATCCTTGACTCTGTGGGGGCATAACCATACACACATCTACCAATTATAACAGTAGAGTTATAATTTCAGGCATGAACTAGTTTTTTCCACATGTAAATGTGGTGCCCAGGAGCAGTACAGTCTGGTGTGATTATGTGCCAGAGTTCATTGCTGTGTGCTAATGGTATATGTAGATGCCTCCTGCATGTGATATTTCATCACTGAGATGAACTTGATGAATTTACAAGGAAAGATTAATAGTCAGCTCTGTTTCAAAGGTGGGGAGGTAAGTAGGTCAATTTACTGACTAAATTTAAAAGCACAACCCAACATTCCTCATCTTAGTCCTGCTGGTATGAATTTTTACCTTCATACACAGCATATTGCCAAAGTGGGTCTCATCCCCTTCTATGCCTGTCTTCAAGAGAATAACGGTATTACTGGGGCCAGTACTTAGTCACTTCATTTAGTAGACCATGATCTCCTGAGTTAATCATTCTATTTAGGGGTCTATCAAACTTGAGGCAGCTGCCAACTGATTTTGCAGGCAGATCCTGAACCAGGCAGCCACTTTCTCAGGTTGTGTGTGACAGGGCCCCCCCCCCCCATGCCTCTGGCTAAGGGGGCCTGGTAGTTCCACCTCTCCTCACAGATTGCCAGATGCCTACAAAGTGATGGCTAAGAAAATGGTATTTAAAGGTTTGCTTTTGGGGAATTGGCTTAGAGGTATATGCTTATCAGCTTATAGATATACATTAGAATGGTTCAGGTTGGACAGCAGAGTTTAATTGATTTCTAAGACTCTGGGTCACACAGTCGCACTGTTTCACACAGCCTTGGAAGCAGACACGCTGTCTAACACAACAAGACAAACAAGGACACAGTCTGGAAAACAAAGAGCCATGTACCATACTGTTCCATAACATGAAATAAGGTGGCACCAGCTGGCAAGGCACCAGAGCAGGGGGTGCTAAGTCACAGTTATGGGGGAACAGACCAAATTAGAAAAAGGCCCGGAAAGACCAAATTAGTACGTGTGCACACGATGAGCTATGTGGACATATGACAACCATCTAGTAATAGCCACGGATGAAGAGTCCTCAGGAGGGAAGGAGAATACAAAAGAAGAACTTTGGAGCAGCAAAGGGTCCCTCCTCATCCCTCCACCTAGGTTCCTTTCCATCCCTCCTCCTCCCAAAGAGGGGTCTCTTTTCCCCTGGGAGGGTCCCCGAGGCCACCATGGAGCCCATCTCATTCAACCTACTGGGGTGGTGTGAGCCTCAGCATCCCACTTCCAGGTTGCTGATATCTGATACCTGAGAGAGCCTCAGAGTGAAGACTGCATCCTGCTCAGATGCACTTTGACTCTGAAAGCCCTAGGATTTGGTAGATGTATAGAATTGCTTGTATTCTTTCTTTTCTGTTCTCACAGTGTATCAATAAATTTGCCTAATAGCAAATGGAAAGGTTGTGGTCAGTGTGAGGATGGGTATCCCCCCCAGAACAAGGCCTCTGGGTCCTAAATTCAGAGCCAACACAAACCACCACTTGGATTGTAATGCATCAATTAATGGCTTCCTTGTGCTTAATCCCCTGATTAAGCCTGCAGAAACCATTAATGACTGCTTAGATTGCTTAATGTGTCAATTAATGGCTTTCATGTGCTTAATTGGGGGATTAAGCCTGCAGAAGCCATTAATTGACATGCTGTTAAGCAATCTAAGTGCTTAATTAAGATCCAAAATGAAATATCTTATTAAAATAAAGCTTTGCACACCATAAATTGCAATTATTACCAACAATATACACTTTATTAACTAATAACTATATACACTTTATTAACTAATAACAGCTAATCCCTTAATTAAACTCTAATGAAACTCTATTTTATGAAAATAAAGCTATGCACAACATGAATTGTAACTTATACCAAGTATATATACACTTTATTAACTAATACCAGCTATGTACTTAATAAAGGACATTATATAAAAAAAAAAAAAAAAAAAAAAAAAAAAAAAAAAAAAAAAAAAAAAAAAAAAAAAAAAGTAGTTTACTGAAACAATACTAACCTTGAGACGGGCAGTTCATGTTAGGTATTAAATGCAACTCAGCCGCAGTCGCTGGAGACATTCTCTGTCTCCGTGGGATAAACACTTGTCCGTACACTGATATGGCGCACTTAGCATCCACTGAGTTCATTGGAATGGTGAGGCAGTGTCTTACCAGGGCATAAAGGTTTGGATACCAGTCACAGACAGAGACCCAGAACAGAGCACAGGCAAGGCATCTGGCACTCTTTGAAGAAATTTGTGTAAGTAGTGTGGCAGAAGGCTACCTCTGTTTCTTCCCAAAACATCTGCTCTGTGACGATTTGGTTAAGATGGGCCCTGCAGAGGGTACACACATTACCCTCTCTCTTTAGAGAACCTGAGCTGGATACATTCCTGAGGGAGGGGGAAAACCTGCTCCCTCTGCCTAGTGACTGGCATCACATACCTGGGTGAGG